GCAGTAGAGGCAGCACGCAGAGATAAAATGGGTAATGCAAACGTTTAAGCAAATAGGTAACTTGCGGTAGCAGGAAGCTGTCAATTAATCCAAGGACATATGCAGCTTGGCTCTAACGCACGTGATGCCGGCAATGAGAATGCAACGAGCTGCAATGAAGCGTTTGGTTTGTGCAACAAGGAAAAGCCACTAACCGTTTGCCGGCATTAGCTTTGAAATGGATTGGCAGGAAGCCCTGCTGTTTTAGTGCAAAAATTCCTTGTCAGGTCTGGGATGCGGCCTGTGCTAAGGGAAAAGGTTTAAAGAATTGGAAAATGGACTGCTGAGGGCAGAACCATTTTTTTCACTCAGCACGTATGCAGGTTTTTTCAGTAAAGATGCGAATAAAGGAAGTGCTTATTTTGGTAAGATGCGATGATTAAAGCAAAAGCGTTGACAAAGTCGAATATGTCATTTGTGGCTCAGTCAGACCTGGTAGCAGGGATAAAAAAGCCGAATTTCAATTGCCCTGCACACATTCCAGAATTTGAGGTCAAATGTTTTCTTCCACTCCACTGCACGCACTGACCTGTTTCATCCCACGCATAGCGTGACCTTAAATTAATCTACATTTAGGAAATACCCAACCGGAAAAACATTTTTAAGGGTTGACCGATCGTCGATTTGCACTCTGTTTGGGGGTGCTCAGATTTGAAACTTCACATGGTAACTCCCAATGGCCTCCTCATAAATCTGGTCAGTTTTTGCTAAAAACCGACATGTGGTTCAGGTGCAATCTGGGCGTATCGGTTTTTGGGTTTTATTGATTTTCCGCACTGTTTAGGGGCCCGTGGTCATGAAACTTCTGGACAACACTTCTAATGGTAGACTCTAAGAGGGTGTCAAATTTGGTAGAAATGCGATCATTCCTTCTGTAAGCAGATTTCTTCGATTATCGATCCGATTTTTTTTTTTTTTTTTGAACCTGAGTCCGAACTCAAAAATCAGGCTCCGTCATGTCCTTATGGCAGCCATTTGCAAACTTGTGGTGAAAACCGCATCGAAATCAGGTGAGAAATGCGGCCTGGGCACCCACGACAGACACACAGACAGACAACATGAGAAATATAGTAGATAAGCAACAAGTTTAATGAGTTGGCGGATGATATTTCCAGGAGTTTGCAAAGATAGGTTAATATAATTGTCTTACTTGTATGGATTTGATAAGAAAGTGAAATCTACAATCAATAGCCAGTTTAAATCTCTAACGTTATAGGTTTAAGGTGGAAAGCCGACTGAGGTAATTTGGATTTTATAAGTAAACCATTTCGAGAAGAGAACTCTGAAGTGATAAAAATAAAATGTAAGTTACACTTGCATAAGGTGTAAGTGTTGGATAGCCACCTGAATCGGAAGATAGTTGATGGATTTGTCACATTTGTGAAGTGTGTAAACAGAGAAATATTTGCTGGTTATAGACATAAATGGACCCTAAATCCACTAAGCTGAAGACGTGTACAAAAAGTGGGAAATTTTTTTTTTTTTTTTTTTTTTTAAATTGATTTCACCTCAAATAAAGCAGTTAAGCCACAAGGGGTTATTAGGCATGGAAGAATTAGGAGCAGAAACATTACTCTTTTCTCTGCCCATTCATTAGTAATCAGGAGGACAGTGGATAGTAATTGACATTGTATTTAAATTTTTGGAGATTAAAGTTGGCTGGAAAGCCTGCAGCCAGAAATGAAAAGTGCAAGAAAAAAAAAACTATTAGCATAGAATTTATGGTTACTTCTTGTCAGCTTGACTGTAAATTAATACTACTTTCATTTGAAATTTACAAAATCTTTCTCTTAAAACATTTTTCAAGAAAATAGGTTTCTCAAGTTCACTGTTACACTCTTTCCTGCATTGATGAGCTCTTCCTTTCTAACTTTTTGTTTGAAGTAGTGTTGAACATCAGCAACTTGATAGTCATTATTTTCTATTTGAGTTACATGTGCTAGCCATTTTAGTTATTGCTGCTGTTAAAATTCCTCAAGTGATGTGGTTTCTGTTATTTGGTATAGTTCTTTGTTTGCACTTCTGTTGCATGCACCCCCATAATGTGAAGAAGGATGGTTCTCTCTAAGACCTACACTGTTCATTCATCCAAAGCCATTTTTAATCATTGATCTGAGAAAGTGGATCTATAGAGCTGACATACTGCAAAATAAAAAGTAGTGTTAAGAATGACAACTCCTGAATACAACCTAGTAATTTTGACTACATAATTTTTATGTAATACGTGTTCACACACACACAGAAAAACACACACATATATATATATATATATATATATATATATATATATATAATGAGTGGTCATTATTATTGTCGTGCAATTTTGAGTCTTTGTTTTAATTTATTTCCTGAAATCCTTTCACCCCACCAAAGTAAGGAGATAAAGCCACTAAGACACAAAGAGCTACTGAGAGTGAAAGAAATTGAGAAAATGTTATTGAAAATAAAGGACAGTAAAAGAGCATGAAGATTGACATGGCATTTATATTTTTGAAAATTATAGTTGATAGGAAATCAAGAAGCCAGAGGAGTTTGACAAGTGAGAGGTGCAAGAGAAGAAACTATTAGAATAGAACATAGTTACATCTAAGCAGTTTCAACAGTAAAATGATGAGACCTATCTGCCAATCTAGTACTGTACTATTCATAAAGTTTTAGTAACAAAGACAAAAATTCATCAAAACAGCATGAAAGTTATGTTACAGTGATAGGAAAGTGATTGAAGCTGAGATGCCACATCAGGACTGTCTTTGGATTTTGTCAAGAATTTGCAGAAGCACCAAACCACATATGACAATATTTAATCAAATTGAAACCCATTAAAATTTCAGAAAAAGGTTATGTATTTGAGCAAAACTCTCATTATCCATTCATTTTAATGTAAAACTGCTTCTGCTAATAAATCTCTTGTATAATATTTTGCAACTCAAATAAATGTTCAGAAGATGATAATTTGTCAATCCATGTTTCAATTATTATCCTTGCTTTTAAGGATCAGCTTTTAAGAATTGATTCTGTCTAATGTGCATATGTATTCATATGTAATTGTATTTACATAGTTGTCTTTTCACATTCATTGGCATCTTGGAGAGTAAGGCTTATAGAGTAGTGTTGTGGATCACACAATGTCTGAGGTGCGAGTTCAATCCTCCCTGTGTGCTGCATATTTGGGTTTTTCTTCAAAAACTAAGTAACTATATTTTGACTCATCTATTAACATATACATATATTTTTCTACTCCTTTCTCCCAGGACAAAATAATTTACATATATTTATGTTACTCGGATATCACAAATTTTACAAGCATATGAATAGATTGAATTCATCTTTCTTGCTTATGTTTCTCTGTAGCATTGCTTATGCTGGGTTTATTTTAGTAGTGTTGTTTTTTTTTTCATGCCTCTATCCTAAATAAACTAATACACTTCTTACTTTCTGTTCAGAATGTATGTGATTATGGCTCTCCCTAGAACCATCTTTAATGTACAGAATCTGCCAAAAATTTATACACAGTTTAAGAAAGGAAAAATTTGTATAGAGATTGTAATACTAAATTTATTCAGACATCACAAGATTAACACAAGTCATCTTTGGACCCTACAATCACAAGAGATGCTCAAAATTGTATCATTCACACACTGACCCAGTCAGGGATATGTACTCTGGCCTAATGGGATTGATCCTAAACTGTAAAAAAGGCAAGTTTATAACTTTCACATTCCTAGGCACTATTTAGAGTGGTCCAAAATTGGGGAAAATATTTTGGCAGAATAATTTTTGTAGATTAGCCTTCATTAGAACCACAACATTTGTTAGAATACAAAAAAAAAAAATATTCAATTTTTTAAAATTTTAATTGCTTTATCAATTTAGCTTACAGGAATTTATTAGTACGGCAAAATACTGCTTGAGTAATGTCGGCCAAAGTGTCTGGTGGGATTGCTGCATATGCATTTTCAATTTCTTGTGTAGGGACCACTGGTGTAGTCAGTTTTCCACAATACACAACATCCTTTAAGACTTGTTGATGTTATAGCCAGCCTTGAGGGTAATGCCATCTGTTGAGAAAATACTACAGTAAACAATGTTATTGAAATTTGATAAAACTATGAAAGACAAGTTTTTCCTTTCTAGAAGTGTGTATACATTTTTTAGGCAGACTCTGTGTATAAACTGCGTATTGCTGTCATTGTTCTGAAGTAAAATAGTGGAATAGATTCCTATTACCTTCCCAATTTTTCTTTCACCTAGACTAGTTACTAACTGGGCATTACTGCAAAATGAAACAAACTATCTCAGCCAGAATTTGAACTTTGCTAGCTGGTTTAATTTTCTGTACTGTTAACCATTTTCTCACCTACACTCTTCCACTTCCTGTTCTGATCTTTTCAAAAATCCTCTGACACATTCTGTTTCAAAAGCTTCTAACTCCAGATTCTGCCAAGTGAAACTGAATAAATAACCAAATATATTAGAAGCAGGGTTTGTTTTAATTTCTGGCCACAGCATTAGTTTACCCTTGTAAAATTATACTGAGACTTCCCAGTTTTTGAGCATACCAATGCATACTAGAATAGAAACACAACATTGGGAGAGTAGTCTAATCAGTAGAAGACTGTGAAGGTTACCCCAAGTGTATATTTACACTGTCAGCAAATGGTGTTGCTGTAGTTATCAGAGGTGGACAAAGGATTTAAATAAATACAGACAGGTAACTGTTTGATAAAGTGCAAAGAAGGAACTAGAAACTTTTTTTTTTCTTACATAAGAAGCGATGAAATGTTTTAAGGAAACTTTTATCAAGAATTCTTGCTGAGGTTCAGAACTTTGGTAACTTGATACATGTTTGTTTATTCTTTCTTTTTATTACTTATTTTTATCTTTTTTTTTTTTTTTTTTTTTTTTTTTTTTTGTCATGTGACTTCATATTATGTCATTTTGCTTCTCTGATTGTTTTACAGGAATTATAAAACCTTTTTAAATCCTGGGCCAAACAGAATTGGCCACAAGTACTACAAAGCTATCTATAAGCAATACACTGATGAAACCTACAAAACAGAGATAAAAAAACCAGATTGGATGGGTTTCTTAGGTCCTATAATCTCAGGATCTGTTGGCCAAACTCTGAAAATCCATTTCAAGAATTTGGCTGATCGGAATTTTAGCATGCATCCTCATGGAATTTTCTATGAAAAAGATAGTGAAGGTAAAATTTTAATCTATTTTCCAGAAAACCGTTTTTGTTTTATTTTGAAATTTATTTGATAAAGCTTTGTAAGTTATTAATTTTTAACTAGTACTTGTTAAATACTAATTTCAGTTGTTACTCAAAATAGTATGAGTCATCACTCTATAGCTGTTAGTAAAAAGTATGGATTGAAAAAAAAAAAAAAAAAAGTATCTTCATGCAAATTTTAAAAATTCATACAGAAATCATTTTCCAAAATGATGGTTTATAATTATATCTGAGGAAGGCATTAGTTTAAATTGGTGCCAGGAGGATGTGCATTAATAATTAGAGAATAGTGCATGCCCTAACTTTCAAAGTTACTCCTTGTCACCACTGCTATCCTGCAATTCAATTTAGTCTTGAGGGAATCACCATTGGTCTTTGTTTATTGAAAAAAGAAAAAAAAAACATTACTGTCAATTGTCCTAAAAAAATCATGAACATTTGTGATTTACTGATATTTTTTTGCTACTAGATATTACATTAACATTTATTATTTTTTTTGGAAACTATGATTTTTTTTTCCAGGTAAAAGTCCATAGCAGGAAGTGGGAAGAGATGTATTTATTAAGATGTATTCATTAACATATATTTCCCAAGGTTATTTGTATGCAAGTGAATGCAACAAAAATGACTGGAATTTGAACTCTACTCCCAAATTTCTCACTTCAAGCAACACTAAAAGTGTAGCAATTCTTAAAATCTTCATTTATTTCTGTAACTACTGTTGGATTGTGTGTGTGTGTGTGTATATATATATATATATATATATATATATATATATATATATATATATATATATATACACACACACACACAAATAAATGAAGATTTTAAGAATTGCTATGTTTTTAGTGTTGCTTGGAGTGAGAAATCTGGGAGATTACTCACAAGGTTTGGGTCAACCTATGGTAAAGTTTTCAGCCACTTTCCAAAGGTGCTGAATGCTGTTCTAATCACTCAACCACATGCTCAATGGATAGATAGAACTCATTGGCAACCGTCGAAGATTGTGCAAGTAAAAAATGACAAGTCATTGTGACCGAGGGTTTAAGTGTGCTGGTCTTGTTCAGACTTGATCATGCTAGATAACACACTCTCTCCCAGAAACTGTAACTAAGGTCTGCTCAACATAGTTGCAGTATAAACCATAGGTGGGCTCTGTGAGTGTTGAGCAGACACAATTTTCCTGAGCAGGCATCATAATAGGGATTGGCTAGATGTTATAGTAGACAGGCATCCACAGATACAAGTGTGCAGTTGTTTATATATATATAGGAATCGGTAGGATAAAAAAATCTATATACATGCACATATATTTGCGCAATATTTGCACCTGAAGATTGCAAGAACTGCATGATACTCTTAGTCATTCTATCAGTGTTGGATATTATGTATATTCACTTTATATTCTATATATATATATATATATACACACACACACACACACACACACACATATATATATATATATATATATATATATAAGGTAAATCAATGTCTGAAACTTAATCATTAAATAAAATTTCTTTCACACAACAAATATTTTTTTTTTTTTTTTTTTTTTAACATTTAATCTCTTTCCTTCTCAATGTATTTAATGATTGTTCATTGTAATAACATTGTCTCTTTGAAACCAATGAAAATCTGAGGCTAAAGCTCTCATCCACAGAATTAGTGTTTATTTAACTCTGCACTTCATCAATGATTGGGTGTGTGTCTTTGGGGGCTTTCTCTAAACATGGCTTCTTCTTTTGATGACAGTGTATGAACTCTTTCTTGCTGCTTCACCATATATAGTGAAGTGATATCTTCCATCTTTTTTGGGGGGGCTATGATGATTTCTGGGGACACAGAAATACAGCTTTCAATGTTATGAAATAGGAGTGGATATCTAGGGTTGCCACATTTGTACGTTTTACTTTCTTTTTTTTTTCATTTCTCTCTCTTGTTTTCCCATTATGAAAACTAACCAGGAAATAAAATTTACTCAGTAACCCATTTCACCCTAACTAATTTTACTCATCCAAATTACTTACTTCCAAATTGTTGTTGCAGGAGCTTTGTATCTTGACAAGACTGGTAAAAAAGACAAAGCTGATGACATTGTCCAACCACAACAAACGCATCTCTACAAATGGGAAGTAAAAGAAATTGATGCCCCAGCTGCAGGTGACCCTGACTGTCTTCCTTGGATGTATCATTCACACATTGACCCAGTCAGGGATATGTACTCTGGCCTAATGGGATTGATCCTAACCTGTAAAAAAGGCAAGTTTATAACTTTCACATTCCTACGCACTACTCAGAGTGGTCCAAAATTGGGGAAAATGTTTTGGCAGAATAATTTTTGTAGATTAGCCTTCATTAGAACCACAACATTTGTTAGAATACAAAAAAAAAAATAGATTCAATTTTTTTAAATTTTAATTGCTTTATCAATTTAGAAAGAGCCTGTTCGTAATGCAGTGACAAATCAGTCGCTGAATTCTTTTTATGGAATTATGTACACTTAGTTTGTTATTTACTTACAAATGTCAAGTTTAAAATTATGCTTATATATCATTCATATCTGCATTTTTAATTTTCTGAAGTTTTAAATTATTTAATTTTTTGTCGGGTGGGGGCTGGAATTTTTTTCAGAAGCACATGCACAAACATTTGGGGGATAATAATTAATCATCTTAAATAAAGAATAAAAAGATATACTTTTATTGATTAATGTCAGTACATACTTTAATTAAAAATTTACATATCTGATTGTTTTTTTATTTAAACAGCTAATCCAGATAATTCTGGAAAAAGTCGGGGATCAATTTATACTGTATCAATTATAAACAGGATCTCCCCTTCTAAAATAATAATAAAAAAATATATATTTTTTGATTTTGACAAAGGTCATGCCTTGAAAAATGTTTAAGGAATGCTAAATTCTCAAAAATGATCAACCTCCTACCATCAAAAAACAAAATTTTTCCTATTTTTTTTTTTTCTCTTTTGAGTGGACAAATATATTTAAGTAATGGCAATTCATGTTTGCAAAAAAAAAAAAGGAATTTTATTTTATTTTTTTTTTTTTTTTTGTTAAGGATATTGACATGACTTAAGAAATATTGCAGGTGTTATATCACCACCACCATTACTACTACTACTAGTACTACTACAACAAAAGCCTCTATTGGACAAGCAGTAAGTTATCATTCATGAATAAATTGTGATCATCTCTACTTTTTTTTTATCTTAACATAAATAAATAAAAGAGAAGAGTAAATCTGATTTTCAATATCTTTGTAACTGGTATTTAGGCATCTCCTGTCCCAACCCTGAAAGGAAAACTCAGCCTTAGGTTTGTATAAAATGTACATTTTAAAAAAGTGATTTGCCAAAACTATTTTGGTGGATGCCCCACTTGCCATGAGGCAGTGTGTAAAAATAAGTAAACATAATGAATTTTTTCTGTCTTGACCCTTGCAGCCTTTTTTTTTTTTTTTTTTTTTTTTAAGTAAATTTTGAAGAATTCATCAGTGGCTCATGAAATTATTTTTTTTTCCTCCTCTTGAAGGCAAACATGCTAAACTGGACACGTCTTTTGCTCTGCTGTTAAAAGTTATGGATGAAAATTTAAGCTGGTATTTGGACAAAAACATTGAAAAGTTTATCCAATCTGGAGTCAAAGTGAATCCTGAAGACGAAGATTTTCAAGAGAGCAACAAGATGCATTCAATAAATGGTCTGATGTATGGTCACCTGAAAGGACTCGACACTTGCATGGGGGACAATATTACCTGGTTTCTGTTGGGAATGGGTAATGAGGTTGACCTTCACACTATCAACTTTTATGGGCAATCATTAATGTATAATCATCACAGGTAAGAAATATGAAGGTTCTCTCCCTTTTCTCTCCTCTCCTTTTTCTCTCCTTATTTCATTTTATATGTAACTCAGTAATTCAAAAATTTGTCTAATTATATAAAAAAAAATATAACATTCCAGGTAAAAATCATATTTACTGAAATTGATAAAAGAAAAAGAAAGTGCACTATATGTCCTGGAACTAAATGACAATTCATTTAAAATTAGTACTATTCAGAAAATAACTAATCATGATCTGTTTACTAATTTCATGAGTACTTTTTATTCTTGAAATCTGTTAAAGAGGTTTGGTTACTCTTACATATCATTTATTGAAAACAAATAAAACTGAACATAGAAATAATGAGTTAAAATATATTTTTTAAAAATTACAAATTGAGGAAACTATTTAAAAATAACATTGTCCAATTAAAAATAAATGATTTGTTCAAAAAGTTTTTGATGCTTTTGAGGATTGTTTTTAAAGATCAAATAGTGATTGATTCTACAGCACAAATTGTATATAAATTTGAACACTGTGAAATTAGTTTTATTGGTGAGATGATGTTTTATGCCATGGTATTAATTATTCATTTTAATTCTTGGCTATTATATGTTCAAAAATATATTTCAAAATATAATTTAATTACATGCATAAAAAGAGTCTAGGAAGATGGAGAAATAATTCTGAACCCGAGTCTTCGAGAAAAGAAAAACAAAAAGATGAGAAATCAAAAGAACCAAATGCTACAGTTATCCAAAATATATTTGATAAATGATTTTGTTTCAATTGTCACTAAGTGGATGAAAGTTTCAAATGCTCACTTTTTCTTTTGTCTTTTTTTTTTTTTTTTATTAAAACTTTTGCATATATACACATTCATAGCCACATTTTATTTTGTTAAGGCAAGACCAGGATTGATGTCTAACAAAGCAATGTGGGTCCTGCTTGACAAAGAATTTGTCATAATGATTTGAGTCAAGGTTTTACAATGCTGGATGTTCTTCCTGGTGCCCAAACCAAGTACTTTTATCAAGAAATCATCTCTAGGAAGATTCAAGGCTTGAGACCCCATTGTAGCCTTTTATTTGTGTGTGTGTGTGGGGGGGAGCTCCTATAAGAAGTCCATCTGCTCTTTGACAGGTTTTGTCTTTTTATTCCATGGGGTAACATGCCACTCTCCTCTCCAGCAGGGAAAGTGATTTAGAGGCCAACCACCCATATATGTGGCAGGTTGTGCTGGGTTACATGTTACCAGTAGCCTGACCTGATCTGAAACTTAAAATAAACATTTTAAAATTTAAAGGCTGTATAAATTTAATATACAGGCTTAATACAATATCTACTTTTGACTAGAAACCCACAAGGCACTTAGGATTGACTTAATCATTTAGCCTTGAAACCATGAACTTTTTTTAAGTGTTCATAAATTGGTTGATAAATATTCCAAAGTATTTTTAATTTATTTTTTATATGCTTATTTTATTTTTATTTTATTTCAGTTAAGGTTTACAAAATTAAAGAAAATTCAGTTTTATTTTTTTGCTAGAAAGTTTGATCAATGTAAAAGTTTTTGTTCTTCAGGACAGATTCGGTCAACATTTACCCATCAGAATTTGCAGTTGCTACAATGAAAATAAATCTTCCAGGAAATTGGCTCATTTTCTGTCATGTTCATGATCATTTTGTTGGTAATTTCTGTTTTTTGTTTTTCTTCATTTTTTCTCATTGTTTGAAAAGTAATGTTTCATTTTAGGGCTCCTGCAAAAGTTATTTATTTATTTATTGTTATTATCAGTAGCAAAATTTAATGATGAAAATAATTCTTCCATCCTTTATTGAAACGATTTTGGGTTCTGGAAGGAAAAATCTAAACCAAGGTTCTACATCCATAAAATCTTAGTGAGTTGATCATATAATAGGCAGATATTTTTTACAATGTTTACTCTGTACAAGGCCCAAGAGGCCCTCAAGGTAGAGGGTTACAGAGTAAGAAGCAGTTTATGGGGATATGTGGAGAAGATATTGGTCAATCCTAGACTTGAGTAGGTTAAGATTGTAGTGATCAGAAAAACATCCTCCTGGGAGTTGGTTCCACAAAGCAGCTGTGCAAGTGGAACTTACATCTCACCAATGGAATAAAGGCACAAGTTTACAAAAAAGTTGCACTTGGTGAGATCCAAGCCATAACTTTCAACAAGAACTGACTTATTCCATGGCAATAGACTGTTTACAGATATGCCATGGCCTTACTCTCAATTTAACTTTCTAATGTACTGTATTTTTTTCTGTATAATATAACCCCATTTTTCTGAAACTAAAAACAGGGAATAAATTACATCCTTGAGTATAATACGAACCTGTAGTACAGACAACCTTATGTAAATTCTTTTTTTTGAAAAGTTGTATCATATCCATTTAAATGTCAATGTTGTATTCACATAAATTATTGTAATATTTTGTGATTTAAAATTACAAGTACCAGTATCCACTATTTATACAGGGTGTTCGGGCTAAATTTGATGGTTTCTTTTTAAAGAAAAATAAGGTGAATAGCTGAGCCAAAAATAAATTTGTTGGAAAAAGAAAAAAAGTGGCATACAGGTTATAATAATCAAAAGACAATTCACTCAAAGAAGACACCCTCAGCATCTACCATGGCCTCAATCTGACTCTGGAATCTGTTACATGCAACTTTCATGGTGTCACCTCAAATGCCTCCTTAATCCATATCAGTTGACTTTGACACTTCTAAAACTGTAGTGACTAGCTTTCATAATGCTGTTCATAGTTTACAGATATTCCAAACCAATTTGAAAAAATAAAAGCATTAAAATGTCAAATTTAGAACACTGTATATAATGACATAATTATGTTGGGGTTGTTTACATATCTATTTTGTATTGTTTTATTTTACTTCAAATTGGATGCTTTGTGTCAACAAACTGAGAAATATGAAACCACTTTACAAAATAGGAATTATGACCCTGTTTTTCAAAAAAATAAAAAAATAAATTTATACAGCAGTCAGGCCTTTATTGTAAAAATATGACAGACCTTTATTAATTTTTTTAAATTAATTTCGGAGAATTTCTTGTCTTTGGGTCAAAAGACATTCAGTTATGTTGATTCCCAAAGAACAAACATGGTCAACATATCAAATAAATACCTTTATGTAAACAATTTTTATCAACTCCTACCAATTTTGTTTTGTTATCTGTTGTTCTAAGTATTTGCAATCTTGTTGTTTCAAATAAAGTTTTTTTTAAACTGAGTAAAGATTTTTGAAAATTTGTAATTTTGTATAATATGACCCCCTCCCATTTTTTTGCCTTTAATTTTCATTCAAAATTTCTCATATTATACACAAGAAAATGTGGTATTCAATCCTTTATCAGTCGTGACCATGCATTTAGTTTCAATTCTTTTCCCATCGCCATAGCCTTTTCTATAAATATTTTCATGACAATTGCTTTCCTCTTTGGTACCTTTTACTTCATGAATTTAAGTGTAGTACTAGATTGGCATTGATTTATTATTGAACTAGCTAGATGCAACCCTATTTTGCTTGCAGAAAATTGAACATAAAATAATGTGCACTAAGATAGATTTTCCCAACAAAAGAAACTTCTATAAAACATAAACAAAAATACTCATATAGTCTCATTAAATCAAGACTTTCCAAACTTGTTTAGAAATATCTAAACTGTCAGTGGTATACAATAATTTTCTCAGATCAATGATTAAAAATGACTAAGAAAATGAATCATTTTGGTCTTAGAGTGGGCCATTCTTCAAACCTTGTGGATTTTCAATGATATACAACTGTTTTCTTAGATCAATGATTAAAAATGGTTTTCATAGAATGAATCATTTAGGTCTTAGAGAGGCTCTTCTTTGGACCTTGTGGATTGTCACTAGAGAATCACCAACAATGCACTTTACCAAATAACAGAAACCATATCACTTGAGAACTTTCAACAGCAGTAACAATTAAAATAGATAAAACATATAACTCTGAGAGAAAATAATGATATAATCAAGATGTTGACATTTCACACTGCTTCAAATAAATGGTTATGAAGGAAGTCCCCACCCCCACCATCAATACTGGGAAAGAGCAATAACATCGACTTGAGAAACCTATTTTCCTGAAAGATTCTTTTAATAGAAAGATTTCATAAATTTCAAGTCAAAGTAGCACTGGCCACTTGGTCAATAAATATCAAATGTTTGCATATAAGGAACATGCTAATTACCAATACGAAAGTAAATAAAATTTTATTTTTCAAATAAATATGTTGGGTATTATGTTTATTACCGATAACTAAAATATTGCAGCATATTTTATTAAATTGCCCAATCATGAATTGGTTTTGTGTATTTGTTTCAAAAGAAAATGTTTTACTAATTACTTTAAATATTTTTTTTTCTTTGCAGCTGGTATGACTGCATTTTTGAGAGTGAATACATGTTCCCGGGAGCCTGATTTGCCCAAAAATGGAAAAATAAGAAAATATTACATTGCTGCAGAATTGGTCTACTGGAACTATTCTCAAAATGGCCAGAATTTGTATGATGGTGGCTCTTTGACAGAAGCAGATAGGTAAGATTACTCAAGCGTATGATGAATTTCATGTCTTCATTATGAAAATTAAATTATGTGATACGTAAAATATTTTAAGAATCCATTTAAGATTTTTGATTTACATAAATTGTATGTAAGCTGTTCTAAGTTTTGGCTCAACAGGTCCCTACTTGAGTAATTAGTCCACCTATGGAGTCAAGTGGGCTGTAGATATTTTTTTTTTTTTTTACCTGGGCCTGAAACAAACCAGCAGGTTATATGGCAACAAAACTGAATTAAGTAATAATTCATTACATTGAAATGTGACAGTTTTAGAGCAATCACATACTATCCAGAATTTTTTTTTTTTTTTTTTTTTTTTTTTTTTTTTTTTTTTTTACAGCTTATCAACCTTTTGCAGGTTATTAAAGACATAAAGTATTCTTTAGATTATAAGAAGTTTTGGGATCTAATAAGGACTTACTGATACAAGTCCTACTAATTAACCCATAGCAGAGGGGAGAAGTGGTAGATTCATACTTTTCCCAAGGTTATTTGTGCATAAGTGAATTTAATGAACTCAACTGGAATTGGAACTCTGTTCTCAGATTTCCAATTGTAAGCCATTATCTATTACACTACCCACACATCTAAGCTTAGAGCACCTGTTATTTCCAAGTGGTCACCCATCTTTAGTGGATTTTAGATATTAATAATTTTGTGGGATAGACAATTATCCTATGGGCTTGTGGCTGAGTGGGTAGAACATTTGCCTTCTGACCATGAGACCCAGGTTCGAATCTCACCATGGTCAATTTTTCAGGAAGGATGTTATTGGAATGGCTCAAGGTCAATCCCAGCATGCGGCACCTTTGGAAAGTGCCTGACAACCATACCACAGGTTGATGCAAGCCTTGTGAGTGAAATTGGGTAGACGGAACTCTTGAGAGCTGTTGATAGTTGTGCTAGCACAAAGCCAAAAGTCATTGTGGCTGAGAGCTTGAGCATGCTGGCGTTTTTCAAATTGTTGATCACACTAGATAACACGGTCTCTCCCAGAAACTGTAACTAATGTCTGCTCAGCATAGTTGCAGTATAAACCACAAGTGGGCTCTGTGGGTGTTGAGCAAACACAAATGTGTCTGAGTGAGCATCTGCAATAGGGATTGGCTAGCTGCCCTAGTAAATGGGTATCCTTGAATACGAGTGGCCATCTATTTTATATATATATATATATATATATATATATATATATAAATAAAATCAGGAAGTGTGAGGTTGGGTTTTTTTTTTTCTTCTCTCCAAGGTATTAAAAGAGAGGAAGGTGAACTTGGAGAATAATTCATAATGAAGTCTGACAAAGCAAGAATCTCTTTTTGTGTGATGCATTTCATCCTTTAAGTCTTCATCAGACTAAAGCAGTGTTTACATTGTTTGTTTAAACATATGCATGAATGAGAGGGGATGGCTTAAACCTTCAGTATAATTTTATTTTAATATGCTTGAGTATATAGTCTAGCTGATTTCATTTAGATTCTTTTTCTTTGTGGTTTATTTTTATTACTTATGAAATATCCCACAGTGTGATAATAGATCTGCCAAGAAAGGTAAGATGTTGTAAGAACCTGGATGAAAAATTTGCCATGAATGATCTAGCAATTAAAGCACTTTCTATATATTTTTGTCTTAGTAAGTTGCTTTCTCTATTAATTGAAGCAAAATTTTTTAAATGAAAATTATGGTCAGATTCATTAGATGCATTTTGTGTGTTTTTGTAAAAGATCTTTTTTGTGTTCACATAATCTTTATTTAACTTCCTTGAGGTTTCTACTATATATTCCTTGTGGCAAGTACGTTTTTCATTCAAGTTTTAGCTTATTATTTTGTTTTGTATTAAGTCTTTTATTGTTTTAGATGTAATTCTTTTCAAGTGTAGTTGTGATAGAGTTGGTGGGTAGAACATTTTTATTCATTGGGGTTGTCCACTCTTCTATTTTGAAATATTTTACAAGTTTTCTCTTTCACATTAATATGAAATAACTAGGATACTAGCGGATCATTAAATGTATTTCTCCTCTTCATATAAATATTGAGGGTTACAAATTAGAATCCAATGATTATTCCAGATTTTATTTTGTTGTGGTGAGAATAGAAATTTATGAGATAATTTTTATTAGTTGATTTCTGATGGACAGTTATTTTTAGGCCATTATCATTTTGGCGTAATATAATATCTAAGAAAGGTAAAATATTGTTTGTTTCTGTTTCATAAGTAAATTCTATCTAAAGTTTGACATTTAGACATTCCTAAGATTGCTCTGATATATAAACATTCATACATCATTTTCCTGGAATAATTCATCTGCAAATTCTCAGATTTTTATACTATCTAATAGCTTGTTTGTGTATTTTATTATCATTAAAATTAAAAGTTATTGTCAATAAAATGTCTTCAAACATTTTCCTTACTTTTAAATTAACTTATAAGGTAACTGATGATATCAGAAACTTTCAAATTTGATTTCTACTTTCATGTGATTTTTTTCTTTTCCTTTTTTCACAATTTACAGCATTAATCTAAAATGTCTATTATAAAACAGTTTAACACTTGAAGAATTTGTCTTTACTTTTCTCTTTCTTTTCTCTTCAGTGATTCTGAAGTCTTTTTCAAGAAAGGTCCTCATAGAATTGGTGGACAATACTTAAAAGCCATTTACCAAGAATACACAGATGGAACATTTTCAGTTCGCAAGAAAAGAAAGCCAGAAGAAGAACACCTTGGCTTTCTGGGACCCGTTATAAAAGCCTCTGTTGGTGATTTGGTGAAAGTAGAATTCTATAACAAAGCAAATCGAACCTATTCTATTCATCCTTTTGGGTTTTTCTATGATAAATTCAGTGAAGGTTCCCATTACAAAGACTATGTTATACACAGTAAGTTTTCTATTTCACATTTTTCTTTTTCTTTATCATGATATTATTATAATTAGAAACAAATAATTTTGATACTCTTATTTTGTTTTTGTTAGGGATTGGTAATCCATATGGATAATCCCAAGGAGGATGAAATCCTGAGAGTTCAATGTTAAGTCAGAGCAAATAATTTAATTTAAAAAAAAAACAGACGACTTTAAGGCTTCATTTGTTATAATTTATTTCACCAGAGAATTTTATTTTTCTCTGGATCTTAAGACTTCACTTTCAAAGGTAAAACGAAAAATGAATTTAAAATTTACACTTTTGACAGGCAGTATTAAGCTTATATAAGTTGACATAAAAGGTGGTGAGGAATAGTGCGAGAGACATGGTCAAGTTTAGAGAGGGAAGGGTGAGTTTTAAAATTTATTTTTCTTTTTATTACAATAATATTGAGGAGACAAGTAATCAGCCATTTATTTATTTATTTATTTATTTATATATATATAATGGCTGATTACTTGTCTCCAAGTACATTCTTCTGTTAGTGGTTAGCAAATCCCTGTTGTATACACCTGCTCAGGCACAATTATGTTTTATCAACCTACACTGAGCCAACCTATGGTTTATACTGCATTTACAGATATTTGTGTTCTCTTCCCCAAAAACCTGCCTGGTATGATCAGCAGTTGAACAAGGCCAGTACACTCTAAGGAATCATGACTTTCTTTTTGAACAGATTTGTCTACCCAGTTTTACTCTCGACATTTAGGTGAAGCCATGGAATAGTTTTTAGTCACTTCTTAACAAACCCACAACATGGAATATTTCTTGGGAAATATTATCAGGAAGTTACCCATTTAACAAATCTGTCCTGGCAAGATTCAAACTTGAGTTTCATGGTTAAAATGGTAACAGTCTAACCATTCAGTCATGCACATATATAGTTTTATTTGATGCATGGGATCTGCTGATAAAAGATGTTGCCGTATTTACATTAGTTGGACTATTGTCCTCATCTTTGTCGCCATATTTGTCACAACGTTTCGGCCGTTGTACGCTCCGGCCTTCTTCAGGTGGTTGGAATTTCGGACTGAACCCTTTATTTCGATCACTGGGGTAGACTGTTCTAGTTCCACGTGCCATGTTTGATGGATGTCAGTTATCAGTTATCTCCTGCTAATTTTCCCTCTGAAAGTTTTCCACTGCCTTAACCAGGTATTGAACTCACCTTCTTTGGGTCTGTCACTGGATCTAACCAACGCCTTTATCCACTGTGCCATGTGTCCTTGAGGACAAAACGTTGTGACAAATATGGTGACAAAGATGAGGACAATAGTCTGACTAATGTAAATACTGTACATAATATCTCATCTCAGAAATATAGTCAGACTCCAAAAGATGTTGCCATTCTAGACTTCTGCATACAAATGTTTCTATTCTATCCTATTTCCTAAACCTTTAGATTCAGACTGATATTGTCTGTGATGAGGAATTATACATTAATCTACTTTAACTAATATCCTTATCTTGATTGCTAATCACATTGTATTGCCAATTATAACCTTCTTAAAGAGCATTTATTAATCTGGAATCTGGGCACCTCAAGGCGGTGTAATGGTTACCAAGCTTGTCTCACTAGAACAATTACAACTAAGTAGTGAGTTTGATCCTCACTGGGTGCTCCATACTTGTGCCACATCTAAGCTACACTTGGTAAATCACTATTAATCTGGAATCTTCAAACTGAACTCTATATTCTATCTACAGGGATATATTATTGGCATTTGGTGAACCATACTACAGGATGGCTTATTCGATAAGTGCTTCTAATTATCTAGCAGTCATGAGTTTAATAGTTCTGTCAGACAGTGAAAATTCTTCTGAATTTCTGAAGTTTTTATGCCAATTTTCTCTTTTTTTTTCTTTTTTTTTTTTTTTTTTTTTAAATTCATTTAACTGTCATTGATTTTTATTGCCACACTTCTTCTTTTTAACTTTTATGTTGCATGTATCAGAAATAATTAACTTTCAATGAGATTTGAATTCCCATACCCTGTCCTTGGGAACCTGTGTAACCAGGACAGCACTTTGCCAATTAAGCTACAGAAGTCAACTGGTAGACATCATTCAAACTATTCCAATGGCTCTTTCAGGAAATCTAAGGTTTTCTGATTTCTTCTTTGTCTTCAGAACTTACACACAACTACAATGCTGCACCAAATACAATAAAGTCTTATACGTGGCAAGTGACAGAGAACATGGGTCCACTACCTGATGATCCACCTTGCATCACAAGAATGTATGCATCTGTGATAGACTATATGAAAGATACTTATTCTGGACTTGTTGGGCCAATGCTTATCTGTAAGAGAGGAGCTTTGAATGACGATGGGAAACAGGTGAGTTCCATTTTGTACTTACTATTGTACAAGTATATAAGTTAATAGTAACAGAAAAGAAAAATAGAAGTAGCCTACTTAAAGCAATGGTACCTTAGTCAAAGTATTCTTTATGACTTAATTCACTTAGCTCAGTGTCTTTTCACTTTTATTATTATTATTATTATTTTGGAATTAACCTAAGCTAGTTCATTAAGTACTCATTACTACTGTCAGTAATTTGAGACTTCTCTTCAGTAATGCTCCCATTTCCATACAATCACTAATGTTGAGCCAGCATAACTAAGGGATGTAAATTTGGATGTATGAGTGATGTAGTGTATAATGGCCCAATTTCACTTGTATTCGTTATATACACAAATACCCTCGAGAGAGGTATGGCTCCACCTCTTCTCCCCACATCCTGGGTATGGCGATAAACTACGTTCAACAGCAAGGCCTCAGATAATGTTTTCAGAAAAATAACGTTGCCAGCTGTACGTTTCTGGAAAAGTAATGTTGCCAGCTATACATTTTTGAAAAAGTAATGTTGCCAGTTTAATATACGTTTAATAGTACTATATATTTAATATGTATGTATGTGTATACATCTAACTTAATTTGGCATTAAATGACTTAAGATGGTTGATATGCCATAAAACCCAACCAACCAACCTCTTCTCCCCCCAGCTATGGGTTAATTAGTCAAATTTGTATTACTAAATCATTATCTCAAAAACAAATTCTTACAATCTTAAAATATTCTCTGACTTTAAATAACTCGTAAAGGGTTAAGCCATAAAATATGAATCAAATTTTTTTCAATAGCAATAGCCAGAAGTTGTAGTGAACTAAATCTGTGTCTTAGGGGTATGAAGCCGGCAAACTTGGGTGATACCTGTACAAAATTTTACTAATTTACTTACACAGTCATACATTACATAAGCTCGCTTAATGACATCTTACTACCAAACAAGTTACCTCATAGGAGAGCTGTCTATGCATGCATGCATGCACAATAAGGTTACCTCTAGGTGCACCAAGTTACATCAAGCTTGTACAACTGATTCTCAGTATATTCAAAATGGCTGGACACCTTCCAGACAATCCCCTCCCCTCTTAATGGAATTGGAATTTTAATCTCTTGCAACAGAATTGCCAATATCTCTGTACAAATGTGTCAAATGTTAACTCATTACAAAAACATGCTTTAAGATAAGTTAGTAGATTTATTTAGTTAAATTATGTGTGGGTAGCTTGGCTGCTATCATTGCAGAAAGGTGAATTGGCTATCCAGGTTCAAATTCTGGCCATGTCACCTGCATTCACTTAGCAAAGGCATGAATCCATCTATTCTTCCCCAAGCTTACAGTCTTGGATGGTAGCCATTCTATGAGAACTACTGAGAATTCCAAACTGTGGAGAAGGCAACAGGAAACCACTCTACTATTTCTCAAAAGGTCATGGTAAATCATATAATACAAAAAAGTAATCTGTGGAGAGTAATGATTTCCTATGCCTTCAAAGGGCATGGCATTTAAAAAGAAAATGAAGGGAAAAATAATTTACTCTCTTTTTTTTTTTTTTTATGTGAATTTTACTTGAATTTATTTTGCAAATGCAATAAAATGCATAAAACCAAATGAAAACATTTCACCACAAAATAAAGTGTGTGTGAGGGGGTTGCTAAATTAAATGTTAAAAGTGGAGATGCTAAGTCAGATATTAAGTTTTAAAGATTCCTGATTGTATATTTTTTATTTGATCCTCTTATAAAATAAATATTTTTTTTTTGTTTGGATCTATTAACCTAGTGTCCACCTTATTTCTGTTTTGATTTTTAAATTCATAATCAATTGAACTTATTTTTCTAGAATCAGACCGATCATTGTTCCTGCGGATAAGAGTTATATAAGAAGCACATGTATCAGGGAGGAGGAAAAGGAAAATTAAGTTTTCTCATTAATCTTGAAAATTAATGGCAGTAATGATTTTTGACAAATGATGCAGATTGGTTCAATCGCATTGTCATAAATTACACACATAAATTTTGGTTTCCGTTTATTTCTCGGTTTCAGCAAAAAGTAGTACAGATTGAAGCCCCCCCCCAGCTTTCACTTATAATGCTACAGATGCCACATATATATATATATATATATATATATATATATATATATATATATATATATATATAAAATCAAAATGAGATGGATAAATTGTTGTTGAAATTATGCAAAAATGAAAATAACACTGACATCTCATTTGAGCAGATCAGTCAGTCAGTTATATGCCATGCATGATACATGCTTATGCAATCATGTATCTTTTGATACATGACTGACAAGGCAGATTTTTTCCCTGCAGTAGGTTGCCATTTCTTTCTGCGGTAGACCCGTTACCATCCAAGGCTATAGAACCTGGTCTGTCCTGCTATTTACCCATAGCTGCTGGGGGAGAAAAAGAGAATTCATACCTTTCCCAAGGGTATTAGCACATAAGTGAATGTAATCGATTTGACTGGAATTCGAACTCGGCTCTGATTCCTCAATCTGAGCTGCTAGCCATTACTCCACCATGCGTTTGAACAGTTTTATGCAATTTTGGTAAATATATCTTGAAATACTAAAGAGTAAATTTATTCAATAAAATCGTCATTAGCTTCAACCACAACCTAAAATTAACATAAATTATACATAAACACATGTCTTTATCTTTTTGTCCAGAGTCTGAACATTTGTATCTTGCTGACATAGACAGAATGCACCACATATCAAACGGGTAACATTTACAGTGGCCAATAGCTCTAGGTTTGTAGGTGTAGCAATATAGCTATGGATGTTCATCTAATGACATCCTAGAAAAGCTGAAATGTATATATGCATTTACAGTGTTGGATTAATTGTTTTGAATTTTGTACTATACCTAATAGCAAAAGAAAGTGTCTTCATATGGTATGAGAGGTTGTTAAAGATGTGGCCTGGAATCCAAGGTGGTGGCAGTTAGAAAAGTTTGAGAACTCTAAGAATACATGATGCAAAAAGACTTACGCTGCATATCATTCCATCCTATTGCAAAATAAATCTTTAATCAGTTTTGCAAGAAAAGAATATTCTGGGAAAAGTCTTATCACTTGTGAATAATAAAGGTCATTAGTCACAGTCTTATAATACAGAGTCCTTGAGTTTCGACTATGATGTGTCATAATGCAGTTTTCTATGTAATTCAGAATGTATCTGATTTTCTGTGAAAAAACACTCCCGTATGACGTGACACATTTCTATGACATGTTAACATGATCAGGACTAAAAAAAACACATGAAGGGCATAAATATAATGCATATAATGAAATTATTTTAAGCTGCTTGTATATTTATTGTTAGTGCTGTCATTGGGTCTTGGTAGATGAGATGATGAATCATAAGATCTTGTCTTTATTGCAGTACTTGCAAATCTGGGGAGGAAAGGAAAACAAATGTATGTTTTTCTTTTTTATAGGGAATTCACCAAGTTTTATAGCTTAAGAAAATGTCTTTATCTCCTACTAGGAAACTCAATATATACACTATACACATATGTACATGTTTTAAGGTATATAAAAACACAACAAACCAAGGTCAGTGTGTATACAGTAAAAAAAAAAAAAAAATAAGAGAACCATTCATTACCATTTGCATTGTATGTACAAGGCAATAAGCATAAGTCAAGACAAAATTACTGGAGATTGTGTCATAACCACGAATTGTCATAGGTTGGGACTGTCATAACCCAGGGCTGTGAAGGGGTTCCCAATCTGATCCACTTCCTAAAATTTCAAGAAATGACCAGACAGAAGAATTCATTTTGGAATCCCATCTTAGTCAGGCTGTGAACTTTTCAGTGTGCTGTCTTTCAAAACTAGATATTATTTTTCCAAGCAATAAGAATGCTGTACACACTTCAACATCTGTTAGCTTCTTATAGTAAGTTTCCTCAACTGCCCACTCCCATTTACATTTAAGCCATATAGCAACATAAATGAAATTATAATCCATGACACATTTTTCGTCTGGTTTAGATGAAAAAATATAAACAGATGAAATGTAAGTAGGTTGAGTGCAAAGACACTCCTTTTCATGCAGTAATAGAAAACAAACATAGTAGATGAAAATGTTGCACTCACAAGGAACAAAATAAAAATGAATGCTAAAAACGAAGGACAATGGTTATTTGTGAAATCCTTAAAAAAAAAAAAAAACAATTACTTTTTTGTATTCTTCTCAGCACAAAACAAGTTGTAAACATATTTGACGATATCACAGTCTATAGGTGCACCTGGAAAAATCTAGATGACCAAAACCTGGGAGCTGACCTCTTGTCTGACCTAGCTATAATAGCTTAATTTGGGGGAGGAGTTGTAACTTTCAATATGACTAAAACCAAACTTGTAACTATTTGTGATCTTTGAACTGACTGTGATTTCTCCCCAGTTATGATGAGAATGATTACATTCTCAAAGTAACTCTTTGCTTTGAGCCTTCTATTGGTGCCCAAGTTCACTTCAAACATCCAGTAGAAATGTGATCCATCACTAAAGACATTGGAAAAATGGTTAACTCCAGGAAGTATCGACTCAGCCTGCCACACACTCTTTACAAGAGTCTGATCAAACCCTAGATTGTTGCCATATCTGGGCTGGATCTGCACAATCTTCTCTTTCCAGCCTTGATAAGATTTCAAAATTATTTATGTGGCCTTGTAGGTGGCAAATTATTTTCTCCCCTACAACCCCTTTCCTACAGAAGACACTAGTCACTATTTACATAGAATATGTTCTGACAAGCTACATTTGTTCCACCAGTTTAAACCTTTACCATATAAACAGGAGTGAGCCATCTTAATTCCCTTTATATTCCATTGGTAAGGAAGAATTCTGTTCAGACAGCTTCTTGTTAAAGGATAGTTTTGTGGAACCAACTCTTATGAAGTTAACCTCTTCAATTTAAGCTCCATAAAACCCTATACCTTGAGTGGCTCTTGCGATTTGTATTGAATAGCAGTGTCAAAAAAATCATTATGCAACAGAGATGATGTTTGAAAAAATATAGAGAATATAGAAAGAATATGTTTAATGTCTTCTGAATTAAGGCATTTCTGTCATACCAGCCTCTTTTAATATAGCAGTTTGTTGTGAACCTAAGATTAATATTTTTCTGAACGTTTGTCTAGATTAACTAACAGAATTGGTAAGAAAAAAAAAATTTTTCAACGTCTAAAAAAAAAAAAACAAAAAGCATAAATAGATTAACAGGATATAATAATAATTTTAGACATAGTTCTAACTATGAATATACAAAATAAGTAAACAGAGTTGCTGTAATTTAGTTTGTTAAAATATGAGACGTTTTGAATTAAATTAATGTTGTAAAGCATACGAGTTAAATAAAAGGTCTGTATGAATATGCGTGAATAAAAGTGAGTTTATGAGTAGGTGATTTGTGGCAATTTCTTTGTTGTCATTGGTAGCAAGTGGGTCCTTAGGGTACAAGTGTGTCTACTGATTTTTGGTTTGTCACTTTGCTTTTATTTGTGTATTTAGAGACTCCAAGCTAGGGACTTTTGAAAAACTAAAAACGAGCAGTCTGATTGGTTTATTCCTCTTTTGTCATATGGAATGATTTTCTACTACATCAGCACAGCAAGGAACAGATTCAGTGAAAGTGATTGAAAATTACATGGGCATCAGCTTTCTTTTCTGGATGTATCGGGCTAACAAATTTATCAACTTCTTTTATAGACATATAAAGTAAAATTCTTGAAAGTAACCTATTCTCTAAAGCTATTCAATACAAGGACCTTTTGCAGACTATGTATTCCATATCTGAGGATCTACTGCTATTTTTCAAGCTTTTTCCAAGTAATTCCATTTACTAGGACTGAGCATCACCGTCTCTCTTTTAGCAATATTGCCACTTTATTTTTCCTCTTTTACTCACCCAATCATTCAATTTAGAAAGTTACAGTTGAGATGGTAATGATGAATGGTATAAGTGGAAGAGAATGTGATAGGAAGTTGGTATTGTGAGGTTAGGGTTAACACTGCCCCTGCCAATAATTGACTCTTGACCTAAGAGGTCAAGATTAAAATATTCAAGCAAGTACCCATGTGGTTGTCTGTTCCACAAAGTTGCAGTCCTGGCTTTTTTGTTTATTTTACTTCCCTTTTGCCCCAGAGTCCCACTTTCCCAATCCCTAAACATCATCCACTTTCAACCAATTAAAGTTTATTGAATTCAGGTACATGATGGGATTTTGGAGGAGTCTGTTGATAATTTTAATTTAAAAAAAATAAAAGAGAAATGAAAAGTTAAAATGTTTCTTAGCTATGTCAAGTTGTCAGTTAATCATTGTTATTGTCCTGTAAATTGTAGCCATTAATTCACCCACATTTTATTTACCCTTTCCAGAAAGATGTCGATAAAGAATTTTTTCTGCTGTTTTCTGTTACTGATGAAAATGAATCTTGGTATATTAAGAAAAACATCAACAAGTTTGCTTCAGAGCCAAATAAAATCGATATGGACGATGAAGACTTCAAAGAATCGAATTTGATGCATGGTAAGTGCTTAAAGAAAAATTTGCTTAACAAATCTTGTGGCAAATTTGTTACAGTGTCTTTTGAGTAAGAGTATATTCAAGCCATTAAAACAGATTTAACATATTTTTTTTTTATTTATTTTTTTTTTTTTTTTTTAGATTTACATCTAGGTTCTTAGAACATTTTCATGTTTCTTGGCAGATCTGTTGTCACAATCTAGGAATCTTAAAAACAAAAACGTTGGGAAATTGAGATAAGCTAGGTCAAGGATTTTCAAACTGAGTTTATGTATCTTGTTCGTCAAACTCATTGTGGATTGAGTGATGTTAGGTTTCTCTCTCTTCTCTCTCTCACAAAGAGAACCTTACACCAAACATTAGCTACAAAGGTGTGCAGTATGTCTTCAGAGTCGGTGAAAACCATTAAGATTGTTGAATAATTCAGTTGCATCTGAAGTCGTGGTTAAAAGTGAATTTCCCAACTCCATGTCAGTCGAGTATCAATATATAAATTTGTTTTTCTAAAAATAATAATTTTATATTCATACAAATAGATACAATATGTGTGGATCATAAGAAATATACATATAAACTGTCAATGCTAAATAAATGAACCTAGTAAACAGTTTTTGTCTTTGATTTATTACACGTAGCTATAATGGGTCACAATGCAAAATGTGCTTCTTGCTGCAGGCCACTTAAAAGTTTGTAAAACACTGAGCTAGATTGTATTTCCAGACACGTTCAAAAAAATAAATAAATTTTTTTAAACTCAAAACTTCAAGAATTTGAAATTCAATGTTTCCAAATTTTCAGCATTTTCTCCTTGGTACATAATTATGATTTATGCTCATGATTACATCTCCCTCTCCTACACATATAAAATTCCATCAATAAAAAAAATTACTTTTTTTTAGTCCAATGAAGTCTTCTAGAGGATGAAATGAGTTACACATAATTTTTCCACTGTCTAAGCAACAATAAATTAAAACAAAGAAAAATTGCTCTCTTTCCCTATAGACTTTTATAATAGCATACATACATACATTAAGGTAGAACTTACTTTTTGTCTCACACACACATAGAGAGAAATATTTTGAAGTTGAGTGGCATGAAACAAAAGTCAATGGTTTCTATATCAATGCTTTATTTTTCATTGTCTTTCCTTTGAATATGATTCAATATATTCTGTAACTGAAATATTTTAGCACTAATTAAAATGCCACAAGAATATTTATAATATCCAATTCCTTTCTCTACAAGAGAAAATTTTTAGAAAATATAAAGATTTTCCTCAGGTGCAGTTAATTCCACAAAGTCAAAGATAGTCTCAAAGAAAAGAAACTCGACAACAGTATTAAATTCAATGGGTTTAATGTACAAAAAAGTGTGTATGTGCAATAGGTAAAAAGAAGGCTTGCAAATATAAGTTAGAAGAGTGTCCAAGGAAAAAGTAGGATTTGTGGCTTTGTGGCATCTATACTCCATTAATGTTGGAAAGAACAGCTCTTATAAATGTGTGGTCACTATGACAGTTAGTTGCCAAAGAGAATGATTTCAATTTTCAAGTTTACTGTGTGGTCCCAAGAAGGGATCCTGATTGGACAGCAGTTAGCCAATCAGAGACCCTGTTTAGAAAAGGTTTCAAGTTCAAGGTTGATCTTTGAATGGTAGCTCACTTTACTATCTCTTTCAAATTTTCATAAAATAGGCTGTTTATTTGTTAGACTCTTTATAAAAAATCTAAACCAGTGAAAAGGGATTATGCATTTTTTGCATTTATCTCATTCTTTTCAAGTTTTGTTGTTTTTTTTTTTTTTTTTTTTTTTTTTTTTTTTAAACTTTTAAGTAAAACAGACTTTAGAAATTTTATTAAATTCTGTGCCAATCCAAGAGAAAACTGGATAGAATGGGCAGGTTTGGTATTCAGTTTTGTATACTGTAAGAAATTGCCAAGAATATATACTATTTAATTGATTTTTGATAAAGTGATGTTATTTTGTAATCTTCTTTTATTTTTAAGTTGTTACTGTAACGGACTGCCAATCCCAATGGAAAAGGCCCATTCTTCATATTGATGTTCTTTTATTTAGGAAATTCACTGTGAAAACAAATAAATATATTTCTCAAAATGTGAAATACATAAACAAAGTGTTATGATGTTAATTTGGGGTTAATAAAGACAAACGCCAAATAACATGTAACAATAAAATGGGGTTTATTTGGTTGGTAAGTTGGTACAGATATCGCCTGAGTAGTCTATAACTAACTCAGCCCAGAACTTCTTCTACACTGTCTTTTGACATGCCACTCTTTAACGTCCTTGTTTGTAGACGAGTTCATCTTCAAGAGCGGTAGTAGGTTCCTACACAACACCTCCCCCTTGAGATTAATTCCGGAGGAATTAATATATTTTCCTTTTGGGATCTGGACTTAAACGTTCCACCCTAGTTCTTTTTCTTTTGCTTGTCCTTCTTTGAACAACTGTTTCAGGCAGTGGTGGAGTCAGTATATCAAATAAATCATATAATACCTCCATTGGTTCTTCCTTTTCTTCACTTATTTCTTCGATGATTCTTTTCCTTAATTGGTTCAAATGTCTTTTAGTTTTTGTGCGTCCATTTTTGACTTGGAGATAGGCATCCGATAAATCCAATTTAGCTTAATATTTTCCTCCACTTAAACTTGCAAAAATGTCTTCTGGTGAAAATCAAAGGATATGTGTGGTCTTTTAAGCAATCATTTAGACCTGTAGAAAAATCGCACACATCCGAATTTTATTTTTTTTTAAATATACAACAGGGCAGGCCCACTCTGAAAATTCAATGCGTGAAATAACTCCCTAAATTTTCAAGCCGTTCCAATTCCTTGTCGGTCTGTTCCAAAACACCAAATGACACATTTCTTTTTCGCTTGAAAATAGGTTTTTACATTTTCCTTCACTTCAAATTTTGCCTTCGCCTTTTTTGCAACATCCAAGACCTTCTGAAAATACTTGTGGAAATTTTATTTTCAGATCTTTCACAAAATTTTCTGTAACCCGATTTTTACATGGAGAAGAAACATTAACTCTATTACAAAAAGAATTTATAGGGAGTTCCCATAAATTAAACAGTATAATCCAATCTATTCCAAACAAATTTGAAGCATTTTGTAGCACATACACTTTAGACTTTAGTGTCTTACCAACAAATGAAATATTACAAGAAAATTCACCTTGAAAATGCAATTTTCTTCCAGAAATCCTGCTAGCCACTTTTTCAGTCTTTTTAAGCAAAGGTCTGCCTATTTTAATCCATGTTGCTGTATTAATAATGGAAATATCACTTCCAGTATCTAGCTGTAGTTTAACATTTTTTCCATTAATTTTTACTTGTACAAATTTTCTTTTCTGCCCTCCTCAATCTCCTGACGTGACAACACAATATTCACAATATCTTTTTTTCGACTTAAATTTTTTTTTTTTTGCTTTTACAATGAGTACTTATATGGCCTTTATTGCCACACGAATAGCAATTTTGTCGCGAAAAAAACATTCACTTTAAAATGACCACCACCGCATCCAAAGCACGTTGGTTTTTAATGTTTTTATTAACTATTCCCTTTTTTTGGTCGAATAGCATGGACACGGGATACGTTTTTTTTCTTCAATTTGTGTATTGTCATGTTTTAAATTTTCAATTCTTTGACACTCTTCCATAACCTTCTGCAAAGTAATCTCGGAATTTTGTTCGAGTTTTGCCAATATTCGGGACCTTATGTTTTTATCTTTTCTAGAAGTCAAGCCTTGAACGAATATCAAACATTTAAATCGATCAATTGAAAGATCATGTAACATAAAACGTTCACACATTCTGTTAACATTTCCAGTATACATAACAATATCCTCATCGTCACGCTTTACCATATTCAAACACGAGAAACGAGTATGAAACAAACTAACTCGCTCGCCAAAAATACTAGATAAAGTATTAACAGTTTCTTCGAAAGAAATGTCACTAGTTTTTCTTGGAAGGACAAAATTCGTATACTTATTATTTTCATCTGTACTCAACTTTTGTAAAAGTAAACTCACTTTTGTTCATCAGTCCAACCTTCACATTTTTTTCAAATATTGTTTCAAATCTTCTGAAATACGCAGGAAATGTTATACCCTCCTCTGGGTTAAATTTGAACTCGGTAATAGAATTAGCAATACCTTCGGCCGTGAATGACAAATTTACTGGATTCTTTAGTAACATTGCTTCAAATAAAGCCTTTGTGTCATTTCGCTGCTGAACTTGTAAATCCAATAGTTGTCTCGAAAAACAATTTTTGTTGCTCTTGTTGCAATCTTTGTTGCTCTTTGTTGCTGAATTTGGTTTTGCACTAGAATTTTCGTTAATGCAATCAAATCTTCCATTATGCGTAATAGATTACACAAAACACTTTTCGAAAACAGTAAAAAAGGAGAAAAACATATATATATCCAACAATAAGCACAAGTCTTACTTCTTTTTGGCACGTTGAAATCCTATTTCTTCTTGAAGAACAAAGTTCGACGATTGTTTTTTTTTTTTTTCAGAGCGAGAAAAAAAAATTATATAGTCCACCTAGAGTTGAAAAATTCTCCACTCAGCGTGATGAATGAATCTCTCATCGCCACTGTTATGTTAATTTGGGGTTAATAAAGACAAACGCCAAATAACACGTAACAATAAAATGGGGTTTATTCGGTTGGTAAGTTGGTACAGATATCGCCTGAGTAGTCTATAACTAACTCAGCCCAGAACTTCTTCTACACTGTCTTTTGACATGCCACTCTTTAACGTCCTTGTTTGTAGACGAGTTCATCTTCAAGAGGGGTGGTAGGTTCCTACACAACACAAAGAAAACACTTTTCAAACAGAAACGGTAATTTGAAATAAACTCAAAAAAAATGATAAAGAAACACATGGTGTCTTAGAGAATTTCAGTAGGGAGCAGATGATTATCATGTTGCCCCTTTGATCAGCAGAAGGTAAAGAGCACATGGTAGTTTCCATACTCCTAAGGGGTCACATGGTAGCAGACACACAAAAATTACAGGTAAACACACATGTTTTTTATGATAATTGTCTAATTTTATATTTTTACAGAACATAAAAAATTATTCTCCTAATTTAAACCCTATTACTATTGCTATTACTAAGTAGCAAGTTCTGTAAGCCTTTTATGACCATTACAAATGTCACTTTAAAAAAAATAAATTTCTGTTAGTTCTGAAAAAAGAATTAACCTATTGAATCGAAAGTACTCGAGAACTGATATGACGATCCAGAATCTAATTACTGAAATTAAACTATTCATATGAGCAACTTTGTACTGGCCATTTGCTGCTCTTCAATTATAATTTGTTTTGTTACAGAGTCAGTTATGAAATTTACCTCAAAGTTCCATGGATGGAATATCAGTGGATTAAGACATCTTTCTTCCCAACTTAAAACTGTTTTTTAAATCTATCTGAAGCATGCAAAATAATATCTCCTAGAAATACCTGTGAAAATATCATAGTTTTACAATTTGGATTTTCTGATGAATCTTAGTTCTTAAGTTAATGGTTTGAATAAGCTCCTTGCAAATTCCATGACTATAAAATACCTGTGAAAATATTGTTTCATTAAATATTTGAGTTAACAACTTTAACAAAATATTACAATAGCTATCATAAATATGAATGCAGGCCACCATTTAAAGAAGTAAGGGGATACAAATAAAAAGATTAAAAAATTGACATGGTTTTCCATTTCACTGAAGCGGATGTTAAACACCAGTGTTATCACTTCTTTCTTACGTTTTGTGGGCAGAAAACGTAGGCTATAACAGATTTATTCTTGCAATTAAAACAGTAATAGCCAATTATTTATCTGAGGTGATTATAGCATATAACATAAGCAAAGGGATGAAGGAACAAGCAAAATCGTGTGATTTATAACAATGTTGCATGACTTATGATTTTTTCTTTTTTCCTCCTTTTCCAGGAATAAATGGTTACTTATACGGGAATTTGCGTGGCTTGAATATGTGTGTTGGTGACCGTATCAGTTGGCATATTCTGTCTGTTGGCAATGAAGTAGATCTTCACACGGCATTTTTCCATGGGAATACATTTACTGTCTATGAAAACCACAAGGATACCATTGCAGTTCTTCCAGGAACATTCAAGACACTCTCTATGACTGCAAAAAATTCTGGTAACCAACTTTCTTTTTAATACCCTTTTTAATTCAAAACAGTAGTCCTGGGTATGATGATAAACTACATCTGGCAGCAAGGCCTCTGATTGGGAGATTGGAGGTTTTGAGAAGCATGGAACCACCTCTTAATTACTGTTTCCAGGTCCATCCTGACTCGGGATGGTAGCACCTCTTAGGGTCCCAGCTATGGGCAAATAGTAAACCCCTAAACAAAAATAAAAATACATTTTTGTAGTAAAAATTACCAACAATACATTTTTATATAAAAAAAAAAAATTACCAGCAATATGCACATATTAACAAATTATAGTGACTTCACCCAAATCTGTTTAAAATACTACCAAATAACCAACATGAAAGGACTTTCATGAGATTAATCCATATATCTTACAATTTCTTGAATAAAATTGTATTCCAAAACTTCAACAAAGCTACAACATAAAACACATATCACCACCCAGTAGTCATGTTCACACAAATATGTATATATGCAAAAGCTGAGTATTGTATTCAATTGTGAAAGTGGAATAACATAACATATTATTATTACTTCCAAGCTGCCAATAAACTTTCAGCATTAAATGACCCATAAGGTGTGGATATGCCATTAAACAGAGAAATCAATCAGTTCAAATCAGCTGAATTGGAAAATTCTTTTATGTTCTGTGTCCCTTCAGGATGAAGGTGATCATGCCTGTCCCTTGTAACTCTTAATAAGCTTTGTCTTAATTGAACCTTTATGAAATCAAAAAGATTTCATAAAGGTTCAATTACTCTGATGCCATATACCTGTTCTGTTCAGACTTCTACCAAAAGGGGATGGGAGAGTTTTACAACTAGTATTTTCAAATAACCTTATTAGTATTTTGATGTCTATTGTCATATCATAGAAATCAATGTTATAAAGAAGATATATCAAGAACAATTTTAAGAGAAAAAGTATGACAGAATGAAAAATTTTCCTTTAGGATTCATCAGACTAAATTTATATTTACACTGATGCAATTGCACATGAAGAAAAAGGGATATTGAGAATTTCAAATTTAAATGTCCTTCCTGTCAAACTCAATGAATCAAGATATTTGTTTACCCACCAACTTTATCACAAATACAATTGAAAAGAATTTATCTAAACGCAACATAAAATTTGTCACAATTAAGTATAAAACAATAAAAGTCTTTAATTAATAGAAAACAAAATAAGCTAAAAACTTGTAAGAGAGATTTACTCTATTACCTGTGTAATGGGAGTGCTTAGAAGAAAGATTTACTCTCCCTTTTTACATTTCTCCCCTTATGAGCATTATAATATAATAATGATATAATAACACTATAGTTCATGGACAGAATGGAATGGTTGAAGAAAAATGAATGACAATGCTTTGTTCTCAGTCAGACTTTTATATCACTAAAACATACACAAAACTATATACACATGTCCCACGCTAAGGATAATCTATATCTATAATTCTCAAAATGTGTGTGTGATCGGATGTTGTTTATGCATTTCCACAGTTTTCATCCAAGTTTGATGAAATTTGTTTGATAGATAATTCTTCAGTGCCGGTTTTGAGTTCAAATTGTTGGTGACAATAGCTCTCCACTACTTCCTGTCTATTATAACTCTTGGCAATGTTTTACTATCTGTTCCTAGATATATATCTTTCATAAAATCTTTAATAAAAATAAATAGTTTAAATTAGTACAGTGATATTATTATACAATTCCCTTTTCAGCCCCACCCCACCATTCAAATTGTTAGGCACATCCCCAAATGGAGGCGTTAAGTTGCACCCAAATGTTGTTACTAATATTGATTTTTGGGTGGGCTGACTTTAAACTTAAACTGATCCAATTGAACGGCAAAAATTCCCAGTAATGAATTAGCCACTTGAAGACCAGTTATACTGTTAGTATATAATATATCTACACAGCAAAGCAGAATGTAAGGATAAACAAAAAAAGGAAAAATCTTATATATAATATAGACCTGGATTCAGCCATACCCTAAAGGCAAATGGCACTATGTGTTTGTAAGTCATGGGGGAGGCAGATTTAACCTCAGAAAACAACCTTACCATTTGGTTGCTATTCACAAACAGAAAAATGACATCATTAAGTCATCTCTTAACAAACATGACTAATCTCTACCAAAGGGAGATAAGCAACTTCTTTATCCTTACAGGACTCCCTCTCTAACCAGGTTCATAAAACCTGCCACAAGGAGTCACTTTTATTCTGCTTTTTGTTGATAGAAATGTGGGAAAATATTTTATACAATATAAACAATAATATGGATGTGATGTATATTAAAAAAAAAAAAAAATACTAGATGGTTGAAACAATGTCCATTCAATAGCATAAAAAGTTCTTCCTGTTGTAGAGAACCATGTGTATATTTACATGTTGTTGTATTAGAAACATATTTTCAGTTCTGGTTGAATATTCAAAAATTGCTGGACTCTTATTATGTCCAACTGAAGGAAATAAGAAGAAAACAAGACATATATATATATATATATATATATAATTAAACAAAAAAATTTTAGAGTTATGTATAGTTTCTGAGATTTTTAGAAGCCATTATTTACATTAGTTGGAGTATTGTCCTCATCTTTGTCGCTATATTTATCACAACGTTTCGGCCTTCTTTCATGGTTGGAATTTCGAACTGAACCCTTTATTTCGATCATTGGGGTAGACTGTTCTAGTTCCACGTGCCATGTTTGATGGATGTCATTTATCAGTTATCTCCTGCTAATTTTCCTCTGAAAGTTCTCCCTGCTTTAACCAGGAATTGAACTCACCTTCTTTGGGTCTGTCACTGGATCTAACCAATGCCTTTATCCACTGTGCCATGTGTCCTTGAGGACATCTGGATATGAATTTCTGAGTATTATAAACCTAATGTTTTCAGCATCATTTTTACCAGTGCTCATATTGCAATTTTTTGCTGTTATCATTCCATGTTTTTACCAGAGTTCATATTGCAACTTTGTTGTTATTGCATTTTTTTCTCTGGCACTCCTTATTACTGGTTCCTATATTGTATTTATTTCTATGCTTGGTTGGCTCAGGAGATTTTTGTGGCCTAGCATATGTGCTGATTCCTTAAGTTTACAAATTTTCCAATGGTGTTCCCCTGTCTATGATCTCAACATGATCCCACAGGTGGTGGTGATCTCCCTTCTCTCTCCATATGTGGTCAGCCACGCCTGATTTTCTACTTCCCCTCTCGTTACAGCTTTCTTGTGTTCTTGAAGCCTTACCTTGAGGGGCGGCCTGTCTCTCCTTTATATTCCTTTCCGTAGCTGCACGGGATAGTGTACATACACAGTCTTTAGTCATGTTCTCTCTGTGGGGGGTCTCACTCGTGAGAGATACCTGCGAAGTGTTGTCACGCTTTTGAAGGTTGTCCTGATATTATATGGACCGCAGATCCTTTGTATTTTCTCTGATAACCCCTTCACATAAGGCAGGCAGACTGTTTTCTGAGTGTTGTTGTCCTCCTCCTCCTCCTCCTCTTGTACCCGCCTATCCCAGTTTTTGGGGGCTGCTGCCATGTACCCAGGGTAGTTGTTACGTTGTAGGGTACTACTTATACTGACCAATTCCTTATCTAACTTCTCCGGATCCCCACTTATGACTTTAGATCGGTGTTGTAAGCATCGGACGATCCCTTTCTTTACGCTGTATGGATGGTGGGAGTCGAAATTGAGGTACTGTCCGGTGAATGTTGATTTACGGTATACGGATGTCTTGAACCCATGCTCTGTTCGAGATATTAGTACATCCAGGAATGGGAGTGAGTTGTTACTCTCTTTCTCCATTGTGAACTGTATCGAAGGTCTTATTGAGTTCACATGATCCAGTAGAACCTGGACATCTTCCTGATGTGGCCAGAGTATCTATGTACCGTAACCATATAGTTGTCTTTAGTGATGTAGACTCTAATGCCATTTCCTCAAAGTATTCCATGTATATATTCGCTATTGCTGGTGATAATGGTGAGCCCATTGCTAAGCCCTCATCCTGTCGATATATGTGAGATCCTATTCCGAAGTATGTTGTTTGTGTACAGAAAGTCAACATCTCCATCAGATTATCTATTGGAATGCTGGTCCGCTCCTCTATGGAAGAGTCAGAGGTCAATCTATCTCTGACTACTGAGAGTGCCTCCTCTGTGGGTACCTTGGTGAACAGACTCACCACGTCCAAGCTCACCATCTGGTTGGATAGGATGGAGCATCTTTGATTATTTCCAAGAAGTGGGGGAAGTTCGGACATATGAAGGAGACTTCCGATCAATGGGTCAATTATATCTACCAGGAAGCGACTCAGAGGATGGCACACAGAGCCTTGGCAACTAACAATCGGCCTGAGTGGAATACCATGTTTGTGAATCTTAGGGAGACTGTATATGGGAGGTAACTTGGTGTAACGCTGCGATAACTGCCTATACGTCTTGGGTGCGAAATGATCCTTGTTCTTGATTAGGATCTGTGACAGTTTGCGTTCCGTTTTCATAGTAGGATCTTTCTTCACTATGCTGTAGCTACCATTGCTAATGAGGTCTTCCACGTATGGAGAGAGAAGGGAGATCACCACCCCCTGTGGGATCATGTTGAGATCATATACAGGGAACACCATTGGAAAATTCGTAAACTTAAGGGATCAGCACATATGCTAGGCCACAAAAATCTCCTGAGCCGACCAAGCATAGAAATAAATACAATATGGGAACCAGTAATAAGGAGTGCCAGAGAAAAGCAATGATAACAAAGTTGCAATATGAACTCTGGTAAAGATATGCAATGATAACAGGACACATGGCACAGTGGATAAAGGCATTGGTTAGATCCAGTGACAGACCCAAAGAAGGTGAGTTCAATTCCTGGTTAAGGCAGTGGAGAACTTTCAGAGGGAAAATTAGCAGGAGATAACTGACATCCATCAAACATGGCACGTGGAACTAGAACAGTCTACCCCAATGATCGAAATAAAGGGTTCAGTTCGAAATTCCAACCACCTGAAGAAGGCCGGAGTGTACAACGGCCAAAACGTTGTGACAAAACAATTTTACAATGAACACAGACATGACATTAGCATTGGTGAATGTTCGTATTTGTGTATAATGTTCACAGCGTCTTCCACAAATGGGAAGACGCAGATTTTCTAAGAGGGCTTACATTGTAGTCACTGAAATGAAAAAGAGGATTTACCTCACCTCCACGTGGGGTGGGATGTGGCACAAGGAAGGAAAAAGACGAGGCGAGAAGTCGCCCAGTATTTATAGCATAGGAAGAATGACAATTAGGGAATTAAGGAGGAGCTAACTCCAACACTGTTAGAATAATGCAAGAGTTCATATGAAAAAATATGTGCTGCAAAAAGAGAAAATGAATTAAGATATAAAATATGCCTGGGCAGTTCAATGACATCCTGATCAGGTCACAGTTTGACTTTGTAAATCTAGTGCTACTGGAGATGGTGTAGTGAGTGTGTCTCCATTTAGTCAGAAAGGCTGATTTCAGCTTGTCCAAACAAATATTTTGTTTTGCATTGTTAATGCGTGGATTAAAATTTTAATGTCTCTTTAAGATCATGAATGGTTTTCTGTATGTGGTTGCAACATATCTGACTTGGCTATGTCATGCACTATTCCATGACATTCAGGACATGGATATTTGAAAATTTCAAGATGTTAAGTAGTCTCGCAGAAGTTTGTTGAAGCTGTTCTTTTGTTGTCCAGAAATTACTGGTAGTCTTTGCATGTCTTTAGCAGGAAATCATCAATGCCACAAGACTTGGTGTCTGCTGTTTTTTTTTGTTTTGTTTTTTTTATAAATTGGTTTCCATTGAACTTGAATTTACTATGCCAGTAAAAGAGACATCAACCACCAAACACAAATGCTTGCTTTAAACAATATGATACAATTCACCCACATGAGACAACTCCATAAACATGCAGGTTTAATTTAATATCTTGCAGTTCAGGTAAATATCTATGGAAAAATAGCACGAGTGAACAATAAAATACATGTGAAAAAAAAAACAAAAAGAAACATTTGGATTAACCAAATTTATGTCCAGTGCTGCTATGTAGTTAAGTGAATTAAAAGTAATGACCCCAATTGGATTAAAGAGCTAGGGCTTACTACCACATTGTGATGGAAAGAGTAGATGGACTATGGGGGGGGCATGGTGTCCTCTGAAGTGTGCTAAAATCAAACTCAGCATGGAGGTGGGGAAGACGGTAACCATGTTATGAATTTTGTTTCCCTAAAAATATAGGGAAATAGTTTTGTCATAAAATATATAACTGTAAATACCATTTAATATCTAGCAATTGAGTAACTACAAAAATGTGTATAGCTGAAATTTACTACTACCACACCAAAGAGAAGCATATAAAGTGTTCAATACACTTGAAAGTGTCCACATGAAAAAAAACAAAAGAAAATTAACACGTGAAAATACTGGAAATGTGATAAAAAGATATGCTATTAGAATTAGCACAAAATAACATAGAAATCCATTAGTCAACTAAGAAAAGTTGTATTTCACTTTGTTAAACTATGAACATGTGAATGGAGAAAATATTCATTTGTAAAAAAAAAAATTAGCTAGATAGAATGAGACATATTTAATGTAAATATCGTGAAGTCTAGCTGAAACAAAAAAACGGTAATTAACATGTTAAAAAATCTCTTATTTGTCTGTTTCTGAACCCTTCATTGACAATGAATTGTCTATTCAGCTCTGACATTTACCGTGATGAAATTATATTTTGTTAATTGATACATTGGGAAAGTTGCTAGTTAATATTTAATTATATTTCTTGCTGTGAACAACAGTTTATGTAGGTTTTATGCCAGAAAGTGATAAAAATTTTCATGTTTTATCTATCTCTTTACCATTGCTGAAATGTATCAGAACAACTTGTTTCATGTAGAAAACGTTATGGTTACATGTATTTATTATTGTGCTGAGTGAGAAATGAACATTTCATATTTGATTGCGGATTCATATCACAATGTGTTCTACAGTTAATGGAGGATGATATCAGATGTTGGATCACCAGTATAATGGGAGCACTTGGAAGAAAGATTTAGTTTCTCCCATTATGGGCATTATTATATCCATGATATAATAACACCAGAATTCCTGGACAGGATGAAATGGAATGGCCGAAAAAAAAAAAAAAAAAAAAAAATGCATTGTTCTCAAAGAGACTTTTATATCACTAAAAAGACATACACAAAACTATATACACATGTAAGATTATGTTGTTGCATCAACATAAAAATCATTTACAATCTCTCTGGATTGTTTGTTTTTTATCCAACATTATTTTCTACTCTTCCACAAAATAACATTTGAAGTTGTAGGAAATGTTATATAAAAAAGATTTGATTCCTTAGAAATTTGTTTGTTTCGTATACAAAAAATAAGTACATATGGACTTTTGAGATGATCAGAATGAGTGAATGGGCATTCTTCAAAAATGTAATTGAACCATGTTGGGCATCACATCTTATTTGTCTAACATGTCTGTGTGGCTGAACAGTCTAAAATATACCAGTTTAGACAATGGTTTCTCCTATGAAGGAAGACATGGGTTCAAACCCTGCTAGTGAGCCCATATCTTTTATAAAAATGGTTTTTGAAAGAAAGAAAGGAAAAAAAAAATATTTGAGTAAATGCTTTGTTTTTTTTTGTTTTTTTCTTAAAGATGGACTCCCACAAAATAACACTTCAATTAGTAGGAAATACAAGGTGTGGCAGAAATATGTCCGACATAATAGCTAGACATTAATGACAATGGTGTCTTCATCTGTCTTACCATTATGTGGGAAGTATTTTTGCCTGACCGTATGTGTGTGTATATATATATATATATATATATATATATATATTTCAAAAATTATAGCATAAACATGTTATAGCATCACTACAAAAATAACCTAAATAATGGCATTCAACAGCATCATTTGATAAGACACCAGAAACAGTGTTGAAACAAAATGGCCATTTTTGTAGTGACATCATAACATGTTTGTTATAATTTTTGAATAAATATTTGCTCTACTCTGTACTGAGCACTCTTTTAAGAATAATAATTTTGGTTATTGGAATTTATTTTGTCTATACCAATCCTATATTTGGATATATTATTATATATATATATATATATATATATATATATATATAGTCCTTAATTATTTTACCATTAATGTCTATAATTCTTTTTTCCTTTCCTTAATCTCAGTTGTAAACTTTACTCCAAGACTGATGGCTTAGAGTTCTGTAAGGCCTTGGTTTCAAGCTAAAGTTTGCAACCAGGATTGAAACACACCAGCAATACCAAAATAGAAGAATCAATATATTTTTTATGTGTGCCCCATACTTTACATTGGAGTCTAATGGCACTGAGTGAGCAGAATGGATAATTTTAAAAGAATATGGCAATGAAAGTGAAACACAAGACACAGTAACCTATTTTACCTCCAGTGGACACACACATAACCCCCAATTTTTGTGCCTTTTCAGCACCCCCTTCTCATCTTCTATTTATTTCTGCACTGTGCTGAAGGAAGATTTTGTAGCCATTTTGTGTTTTTGTGTTTTGTAGGTACCTGGGCCTTGGTATGTAAAACAAATGATCACTTCAATGCTGGGACAAAGGCTTTGTATCACGTCAATAAATGTGGCCGACTCACTGCCCATGAACGAATGACTGGCAAGAACAGGACTTATTACATTGCTGCTGAAGAAATTGAGTGGGAATATGCCAAAGGACATCAAGATTTTGTAAGGGGTGGATCCTTGGATGACCCAAATAAGTAAGTGGAAATTTATTTCAGTTAGGCAGAAAGCTATATTGGTGAGCTTAACAGCCTAGATTTTGCTTAAATATGTATTGAGAAAGAGGAAAAATTTTGTAAGCAGTTCAGTACACTTTGTTGTTTCTATGTAATATCAATCCTCTTGCATAACTGGGAATGCAGGACAATTTCCTCACAGATCATGAGGATACTTTAGACAACAGATGTGGATGCTGAGAATACCATGGACAGAACATGTGAGCAACAAGGTTTTAAAGAAAATGGAAATGAAAAGAAAACTTGTACTTGAATCAGAAAGAGATTGTTGAAATTTCTGGGATGCATGAGGAGGGGGTTTAGAGAAATTGAGGTGCAGATTTGGATGCCTTAATGAAAGCTAAGTGGGTCTACCATTCATAGCAGCAATAACTGAAGTGGATAGAGCCTGTAACATGTATAGAAAATGATGACAATCAAATTGTTGGTTCCACACTATTTCAAACAAAAAGATTTACTTTTCCCCCCCCCCATCAATACTGAAAAAGAGCAATAACAGCAAATAAACTTGCTTTTTTTTTTTTTTTTTTTTTTTTTTTTTTAAAGTAAGATTTTATAAATTTCAACAATGTAGCACTGGCTGCTTGGTCATTGAATACTGAATGTTTCCTTATAAGGAAATGCGTAATCTTAACATTACTCTCACACCAACCCAGGTATTTCTACATTCCTGCCCCTGTGCTACATTTCTGTTGATTCTAAGAATGGAATGGACTCATCTGCCCTTTGACAGGTTTTGCGTTTAATCTTGCTAGGTGTCTAGCTGTCTGCCTCACTTGAAAAGAATGGTGGGGGAACCAGTTTAGTTGCCAATAACCCAACATATGACATCCATACATACAAGATTAATAAAAGTTCAAATGACCTTGAATGTGAACTTTAACAGATACCCCATTGTAGTCTTCAGTATACAATAAATCTATTAAATTCACTAACAAATATCACATTTATTTATTATTTTTCTAAATGGAAGCTAAATTGTATCTCTGTGATACTTCAAATCTGAAGATAAGTTGTTTGAACATTTTATCTATGGTGTCTTCTTTTTAATATTGAACAATTTCTTTGCAACAATTTGCTTAGCTTGAATGTTAGTCTCCAGTAATTTACTAGTTGTTAGGCATAAATGATATATAATTCACATACCCAAGTTTATTTGTATGAAAATATTTATTATTGTCTTTATTTATCTATTTTTTCAGTGAGGGTAATGCTTTTGTCAAGTCATCAGAGACGCTGATTGGAAGCAAATATATAAAAGCTGTATACAGAGAATATACTGATGACACTTTTACAACTCCAATGCCCCATCCCAAATACCTTGGAATTCTGGGGCCAGTTATCAAGGCTAATGTGGGTGACACAATTAGAGTGATTTTCTACAACAATGCCACTTTTCCATTTTCAATTCAACCTCATGGAGTTATGTATGACAAAAAGAACGAGGGATCTGCTTATGAAGATAAAGTCAATTCAGACCTTAAGAAAGGAAGCAAGATCTTACCTTTACAGAACTTTACTTACGTCTGGACCGTTCCAGAATCAGCTGGTCCAGGTCCAAAAGATCCAGACTGCATCAGCTATGCCTATTATTCTGCTGTGAATCCAAGTAAAGATACAAACAGTGGTTTAGTTGGACCTCTGGTAATCTGTAGGAAAAATACCCCAATGGAACCAAAATTCAAAGAATTTCCTTTGCTATTTACTGTTTTTGATGAGAACGAAAGCAACTATCTGGACCAAAATATTAAAAAATACTGTAGTAAGCCAAATGACGTAAATAAAGAGAATGAGGAATTTATTGAAAATAACAAAAATCATGGTAAGTTCCAGTTTACTTTTTATTTTTTCATTTCCTCTCTTATATCCAACCTGTTTTTTTATTCTGATAAGATTTAAAAGTATAATTCTTATTGATATAAATTCCTCGTTACTACATGAAGCTTCTTTTTTTTTGTCTGAATTTCTGAGATGAGGTGTTATCATTATTTACACTATTTATGTTTGGACTATTATCCTCATCTTTGTTGTTGTTATCACTGTGTTTTGGTCATTGTACCCTCCAGACTTCTTCACATGTATATTGATCTGGATAACCTACAGGGAATTCTGAACTGGATCTTTTTTTTTAATCTCCATGGTAGACCAGGGATGTTTAATATTTTCATGTGACACACAGCAGCCTAAAATCATTATGTTATTAAAGTAAATGAAAATATACCTATGCTGTGAAAATTATCCTCAGATAGTGCTAGTAGGTTCACTTCCTTGTTGCACTAAAAAGAGAAGGGGGTAGCAAAGGCCTTTGCCGAATCACACCAGCTGGTGCGTGGGCAAGAGCCAGAGCTAAATAAAACTTATTTAGCTTACAGTTTTTTGGCTCTGGGTCATGTGGTGGAGTCCTTCGGCTCCTGCTTGAACCAACCTTGTCAAATTTGCTGTTATTTTATTTGCTGCAAATGAAAGGATACACTTTGATGTTGTTGGGGACGTGCAGAGTTGTTAATTATTTAAGAAAGAATCAGAAGGAATTTTGAGTTGGTTGTGTGTCTTGCTGCATCCCAAACAAATAAATAAATGAAATTCAAAATGTAATTGAAAACGAGACATATGCAATTTAGAAATCAATGCAACATTTATATACAATTTAACAATATACAGATTGGATAATCAGTGTGTGTCGTGTGAATGAAATGTGTATGTAATTGTTAGATTTGTGAATGTCTCTTTGTTGATATTGTTCGTTGATTCGCTGTCTTTTTGTTTGTGTGAATAATTGTAATTGTGAATTATAAGTGTCTTTTGAAAAGAATTTTTTAGAGTGATCTACCCTTAAACGTAGTTGATGTTTTCGTAATGTTGTATGTTCGTTGATGTTTACTTATTTTAAAGTAGTGAATTTAATTCACTGTACACAAGCAAAGTTGAGAAAAGTGTTCACAGAGTTGGTTAATGAATGATCGAATATGAGTCAGCGATGTATCTTCGTGCGCGGCAAAATTGTGGTTCATAGTGGCGTGGAGTATATAGGAAACTACTCTGCAAATTCGTGAGACTGACTGTCTGGGGCTGTCTACGTTTATTTTTATATTGTTCGAAATTCCAAAAGTGGCTCACTTGATTTTGGCGCAATTTCTGTTTTGCACATGAACTTCAAGTGATTGACCAATGGGGTTGTTTGCTTCGTTTCTTGCCGTTTTGATTGGTTGAAGTTTTTTAGGTATGTAGGCGTACGATGTTGACTGTGCTTTTGTTAGGGTTGGAAAGGTAAGGATATTGGACGAGTCCACAATGTCATAATGGCATAATTGGTGACAATTTTGAACTTACCAATGAAAAATTTTGTGGGTGTGGTCTGTCATTTTGATCGTTTCAGTTTCAAAACTTTTATGTTTTGATGAATTACATTTTTTTTTTTTTTTCTTTACATTGCATGGATTCAAAGTCACTATTTCTTGACAAAGTGATTCGGAAAAAGCACTATCAGGTGTCCACTTATACTGATAGTAATAAAGAATGGGAACTTTTAATCAGGCAGATAAAAGACTCTTTTTCCCTCTTTTTAAAAGAGTGTCAGGCATTTATATAAAACAGACATCGTAAAAGAAATATATAGATATACCTAATGTAATGATTTAAATATTTTCAACACATTCCAATTATATTCGTAATTATTTAGTTAACTTTAAATTCAGATTTTTAATAACTCAACATTTGGTCATGACATCTAGTACTAAGAAAAGTGAAAATTTAATATTCTATTGACAGAAAAATATTTCATAATTGAAACCTGCAGTAATATTACCTGCCTCATAAAATTGCCGTGTGCAAGGAATATAATATGCTTGACAGCTTAGTGGCACTTAATAAGTCAGAATATAATAAAAGAAGAAAAATGAAAATAGATGAATTAAAGAAGCAGTTTAGTTCTCAACAAAAAATTTTCAAAACTGATGCATGTACAAAAGTTAGCTATTTAATAGCTGAAAAATTGTCTGAGAAGAACAAGTCACTGATAAATGGTGAATTAAGACTCATTGTCACTTTCATAATGCTCATTGTAGTAGAGACTTTGTAATCACAGATACAACTATAGTAATGCTGTTGAACAATACTGGTGTCAGATGCCTTCAGATATCCCTCGCACTAGTAGTACTTGCTTGATAATACTCAAAAGTAACCAGAGAATAGTAATCCATAGTGATCTGAATAGAAAAATAGTATAATGAACAGACTGATTCAAGAATGTTGTGTCCCCTCTAAATGTGGGTAATCATGGTACTCAACAACTTCCTCCCCTTCGTAGCTCTTAGTAAAGTTTACCTCTTAATCCCTGTTCTGCTGACTATATTGGTTAGGTTATTTGCTATTTTTCTCTGTCCCACTTGCTTTCAGTATGTCCTGTAAGTATCAAATTTGCCAAGCTGTCTTTCCTTATGTGCCTAGAAGAGTTCAGCCATCTCTTTCTGATTTTAAATATAAATGTCTTTTTGTTTCTATTTTTCTTAAAACATTCTCATTGCTTACACTCTTATCATATTCTCAATATCCTTATGTAGAACCATATCTCTGTGGTCTCAAGTTTTCCATCCATCTGTAAGGGAATTGTCCAGCATTCCCTGCCATACAGGAGGATTGATTTGACACAACAGTTCAGGATTTTTTTGTTTCTCTTGAATTTTGTTTCTTGATACTTTGCTTGGCTTTTGGAACGCATCTTATTCTATTCCGGTCTGTGTTTGGATTTCAGTGTCACATTTTCTATCCTGTCAAAATGCTTCTTAAATATTTTAATGCAAAAGGAACAGTTAAACTAGCTTTACTAAAATGCCCCTTATTTTTTATTTTTTCTTCCAGGTATCAATGGCCTTTTGTATGGCAACCTTCAAAGTTTGAAAATGTTTCAAGATGAAACCGTTTACTGGTATCTTCTTGGTTTGGGCACTGAAGTCGATATTCACAGTGTGCACTTTCATGGCAATACCTTCCTTCATTATACAGATTATCAACATCGAAAGGATACCATTGACCTTTGGCCTGGCACCTTCAGCACTGTTGTTATGGTTGCACATAACCCTGGCACCTGGCTGCTACATTGTCATGTTAATGATCATATCATTGGCGGAATGGAGACTGTCTACACAGTTTTGCCCAAAAATGTCACAAGAAAATAAGCGATTTTCTTCCATGTTTTTCTCTCTTACAACTACAAGAGTCAGATTCTGACCAAATCTGTAGGTAAATTTTTTCTATTTGAAGTGTATAGGTGATCTCAAAATAAAATTCATTTCATTTATACATTTTAATTTTTAATCTTCTTTATTAAACTAATGACATCTGTGCCTTTTCTATAAATACTTTCATGGTAATTGTTTGGATGAGTGCTTCAGCTATGGTACCTAAACTTTATGAATTTAAGTGCAGTATAAAACTAGCATTGACATTTCATTAATTTACAGTTTAATTGGCCATAGATGTAAATGTAAGTTCTATGCTAAAAGTTTCTTTTCTGACACTTCTTGCTTGTGGAACTCTCTTCCAGTTCCACGCTTCTGTCTTCAAAAATTTAAATGCAATATAAATTGTTATCTACTGTCATCCTGATTACTTTTCTATTGTTCTTGCTTCTGCATAATGTTTTCTAATTCTTTCACACCCAGCAATCCCTTGTGTCTTAGTAGCTTTATTGCCTTGCTTAGGGTGAATTTGATAGAAAAAAAAAATTTGAAGTTTCATTAAATTCTTTTAAATATTTGAATTATGGATATTTTTGCTTAAAAACAAGTTTACTGTTGAAATTCAATAACATTTTCAACTTTTTTTTAAAAAAATGATTGCATATTGACATTTTTTTTAATACTAAAGTTCACTCACTAAAGCTGTTTAAGTTAAAGGGTTATTATTAAAATGGTTATGATAAATGAGGTGTGTGATAGGATAAGGAGAATAGATAACCTCTTCAAGTCATGGGTCAATTGTTATGTTCTGGGAAGCAGTTCTTAGAACATTGTCTAAAGATTTTTTTAAATCACCTCATGCAAGGTCACTAAGACACCTTGTGTCTTAGTGACCTTGCATGACCTTAGTGACCTATACAGGGTGTGAAAAAATATTAAGAACAGACACATTACTCTTTTCTCTTCCCACTCATTATTAATCATGAGGACAGATCACTATTGACATTGCATTTAAATTTTTGCAGATTAAAGTTGGTTGGAAAGCATGGAGCCCAGAGTGAAAAGAAAAGAAACTGTTAGCATAGACCTACAGCTACTTCTAGCTAGCTCAACTGTAAATTGATGAGATCTAGATGCCAGTCTAATACTGCTCTTTAATTTAAAAAAAAAGTCTAGGTACTATAGCAAAGAATTCATCTGAACAATTACCATGAACGTATTTATAGAAAAGGCACAAAGAGGCAACTTTACAGTGATGGGAAAGTGACTGAAGCCAAGCTGCTAGATCAGGACCCATAACATTGCTGATTCTTCTTTGGATTTTATCAAGGATCTCAAGGTAAATAGCAGGGTCATCAGACCATATGTAGCATCAGTATTCTAAATATGGGTGAATGGTAGACTTATAAATATGTAAGATAGATTCTGAAGAGAAAAATCAACACAATGAACCAACTTCCTTAGCAGCTGACCTAGTAATGGATTCAATAGTCTTTCTACTTCATGTTAGCTTGAGTAAGCATAATGGGTCACTCTCCTGGGGGTTAGCATAAGCCATGCTGATGGAAGGCAGCTCCTTGACAAATCATGGTGAGATTAAATTCTCAGTCTCACGGCTAGAAGATTAATGAGTTACTAACTTAAGTGCATTGACAAGGAAGGAGATTAAAAATATAGATTTCTTATGTTTTTTATATCTATATGCTGTTGGCTTTATTAATATACTCTATATTTATATAGAATGCAAGGGTCCCATGGGCACCCCCTGAATTTGTGACACGGGCTCTCGCCTCTCTACTACATCTCAATTTTCATAACGTAGTATTCATATAAAATACAAATTTTCTTGTAACCTAATTATATACAATAATGAATAATTCAACTAGAAAAATTGAAAATAAATACAATATATCTAAATATAAATTAATTAAACATGTCATAATAAATCAACAATGTTTTGCAACAGTTTTTAACATCAACTTTATATTTTTCTTAAAAAGTTGAAGGACTTCAATATTCAACATTATTGATAAAAAATAGTGAATTTTATATAGTGTTTTTTTTTTTTTTTTTTTAGCAGAAGAAATTCATGGGATTTGGACAAAAAAAAATAAAAAGACCCCAGAATGACCTCAAAATCTGTAAAATATTTTTCTTCTATTAATAGTAATTTGTGTTTAGTTTAATTTGTAGCATATATAAATGTAGCTAGAAAAAAAGCAAATGTTGGTAAGAATGTCAGGGTGAAAAAGTTCTGAGGGGTTAGGGATTTTGGGGTAATATATGCTGGTGGTGTCCGTATAGCTGACACACACATAAATACACACTTAAAATCATTTAACTACATTAGGCTAATCAAATGGGACTAGTCACTTATAAATATTAATTTCCCAATTATCTTTTACTTCCGAAGTAATCTCTCCTTAGAGATTTAATTTTTTATATCATGCCTTGGAACCATACTTTTAATGGAAAACAAAATTATCGAATATCCAAAAATCAAATAAATTTAATTAATTTATATTCAGGTTGCCTTAAATTTTATTGAGTCAGTCATATCCCAAACCAATTACCCTAACATTTCATGGGACCTTGCGTGACCTCCAACTCTTTCAGAAATGTACTAAACTATATACAAGTGTTTTCTCAGTTCAATAATTAAAAATGGCTTCAAGAGAATGAACTCTGTAAATTTTAAAGACAATTGTTCATCAAATACCACAGACTTGTCCTACAGAATTGCAAAAAAAAATTTACCAAATAACAAACAATATCACTTGAAGACTTCCAACAACAGCAAAAGAAAAAAAAGTAGTACATTTAACTAAAAAGGAAAATAATTATATAAATGTTGACTTTCTACATTAGCTTTAACAAAAGGTGAAGAAAGAAATTCCCATCAGCTCTAGAAAGAATAATAATAGTGGACTTGAGAAGCCTATTTTCCTGAAAAACTTTTTTAAGAGAAAGATTTTATAAATTTCAACTGACAGTAATGCTGTTAGCTCAACAAATACTGAATATTTCCTATGTGGAAATAACCAATATCACTAGTACCATTAAGTAGCAGTAAAAATGATATAAATCAAATTTTATTCTAAGATAGAAATTAGCATCCAAGAAATCTAATAATTCATCTGGATTTTTTAATCAATGTCAAATAAAAGAAAACTTCCCATCAAAGTAAAAGAGTATAAAAATAAAATGGGTATTAGTGAGATTAATTTTTATATAATTTTATATTTACATAAGAAAAAAAATATTAAAATCTAAAGAGTTGTTTCCCTTTGACGGTTTTAATTTTACTTCTGTGAGAATTAATCTTTCCAGTCAGATCATATCTTCCATCTCAGACATTATTTCAATCAACCATCCCATCTTGGTTGTTACAGTTACAATATTTCTGCTGTAATTTCAAGCCTTCTTCAGGTATCTTATATCCTATTTAGTAACCTTTGCGAAATTCTGACTAACCACTTTCCTCTGGGAGTTGAGGATGCTTCTTCTGCTAGTTAATGTCTATGATGATTTTTCAAGAGTTTGACACAATGAGACCCAGCAGTGATTAAGAACACCTATGTAGTCAAATTGATTTCTAAATGATTTGATGTGAGACTGAGGGATTACCGTTTTAACATCAGTCTCAAAGCAAGATCTTTAAATTAAGGAAGTATGGGTAAAAAAAAAAAGTAAATAAAAATTTTCAGGATAAGTGCCACTTAGGCGAAGGTAGAGAAAAATCGGGGTTAAAAAAAAGATTAAAATAAATTTGTTATAAATTTTTTTAAAAGGGGCCCCAAAAAACCTTAAAACAAAAAGGGGGAAGATTGGGTTT